GTTCTCGTTCTTTTTCTCGACGGATTAATTCATCTATTTTTGCCTGAAACAACAAATATAAACATCAAGTGACTCGATCCTAGGTCAGAGTTCACTATTCATACTTTCGCTTCTTCTTCACGCTTTTTTCGTCGCTCTTCCACTTGTGATCGATGATCAGTATCACGATTACGTAATTGTAGCCATTTTTTTACTCGTTCTAATTGTTGCTGTTGCCTACAAATAATAAGCATGACATATCAACATAGCAAAGATTTCTTCGGTTTTTCTTTTTTCCTCATTTGCATATATAGCAATTTCTCGTAATGTTGTTCTTCCTATTCAATACGCATCAATCACGGAAAATGAGAAGAAACAATGAATTTTCTTCGCTTCATAGCTAATCCGACAGAGGAATAAGGGGGAAATCTTTTCGTTCTGTGATTGAGAAAACTTGTTTTGTCGATTGGGAAAGAGAAAGAAGAAAAAAAAGACGTGTTTTCGTCGCATTGTTCTAAGACAACGATGTCAAATGCGTCCTAACGTCGATAATAACTAATGATGGAGCCTGCAGCTATCTAGAACAACTTGTAAACAATCAATTGTTTGATCAATACAAATCAAAGTAAGATCTGCAGAAAATCCAATCGAATATCTAACGAATCGTTGAGATCATTCGAGTAGAAGGACAACTTTGACAATATGTCAAAAATTAAAGATTAACAGCGAGATTCTTTCTACAGCATCCTTTTATGTTTCTACTCGTTCTTCAATTGTCGACGTCGGAATAATGAAAGACGCATGATTAACTTTTATTTCAAGGCATTAGAAAAGAGAATCTAAGGATGATGTAATCGAGACTATCAGTAGGGAATCTCATTAATAATCACTTACCACTTTTGTTCCTTTTTACGCAGCTGTTCTTGAAATTTTTGTAAACGTAATACTTCAGCTTCTTCTTTCTTCTGTTTCACTAGTTTAATATGTTCATCAAGAGCAAGAGATCGAAGACCTGACAAAATCAAATTTGGTTCTCGTATGCAGAGAGTTCTTCATGTCAAAGAAAATTTTTACCATTTGTTGTCGACTTTATTGTCGACATCTTACTGCTGACTTTTGATGTTGCTGCTGATGTTGGCCGTTCAATTTTAGTCGGACTATTCTGATTGCTATTGTTCTTATTATGATCTTGTTCACCGTTAGTCAACGAATCCTGAGATATACTGTCTATAAATAGAAGAAAACAAAAAGAAATATTTTATTATTAATTACATATTGTTATTTTTGTGCTGATTTTATTTCCGATACTAATCGCACACTTAGGAACATATATATTCTTTTTTTTTCGCGTCTACGTATACAATAAAAATGAGAGTATTCTCAAGACACAATCTACTCGTTCTAAACGATCAAAAAAGGAAAAGGTAAGAATGAAAAAGGCAATGAAATTCTCGCTCATTCTGCTTAACAACTGCCGCCGTCATTATTATGTCGACCATATTTTGTCGTATATTCCGTTTCTTCTTCATCATAATCGATACTATAGATTGATTTTTCACCGCCACCATCATAGATACTTTGTGTTGTACGACAATTATTTCCTGTTTCATCCATATAGTATTCACTTGATTGATAATCAGGCACGGATGGTGAAGGTCGATGGTGTCGACGGCGATGCCGACGGTTGCCAATTGTACTTGTTGGTGAATTTGATGTCGTCTGAGATCGTTGAGGTGAATCGTTTGGCGAACAAAACAATAGTTTACTCGCTTCACAACAGAAAAGAAAGGCAACATTCGCATTTGTTCTCAAACGTTCAAGACAGTTGGGTTTTTTGATTTTCAGGCAATAGATTATTAGGACGAGAAATGTTAAAGAAATAATAATGAGAAGAATAATGACGAGAGTATTTGGCTTCGATGAAGGTGAACGAATTTTTTGATCGGATGTGATAACTGATGCCTGAGCTGCAGTTACATATGTTCGATTATTGATTGATAATATTTGTTTTGCATGTGATTGAGAATCAATATTAGCTAGAGATAATATACGTAACCATTCTTCATCATCAGATGATGAAGGTGAAACACTAGCTGTTTTGGTCGTGTCGGGAATTGTCGTCGTTTTGGGTGTAGTCGAGATTTTTGTTCGTTTAGATTTTTTAATTCTTGATGTTAGAACTGGAAGTGTTGTTGTCAGCGGCTCTTCCTCTGATTCTTCTCCTTCTCCTTCTCCTTCGGTATCCCCTTCCGATGGTATCTCTTCTTCGCTTTTGTACATATTCGTTGTATCTTCTACTTCAATATGATCGTTCTGATTGTCTTGCGGCTGATGTCGAATGAGATCCAATCGGCTTAGTTTTCCTCCACGTTGCATATTCACCGTTGTTGCTTTTCGTTTTTTTGTCAATCGTGGTATTGTCGTACTGATAATCGCTGTCGTCAATGCTGGTGCTATCGTTGTCGTTGTTGTTACTTTTGTTTGTCGTCGTCCCCAATTGCAAATAATTTGTACATTATGATCCTTTTTCACTGGGCTCGCTTTTAATTCGAAATAAAAGAACAATTCCGAGAAAGGATCGTTTCGTACGTAAGTTAAAGTAAAATTATGCGAACCAGAACCAAACAGAGCTATGTTATTGGTCGGTAACATGTCCATACATTTCCTTTCCGAACGCGATATGGCAATTTCTAGATAGGTCATTTTCTTACACTCAAGATCGAAAGATTTCGGATAGATTAAAGATCTCAACAGCGTATGCTGCCGATTGATCTCGCGTGCCTGAAGTAAAACTTGTCCATTCGGCATCGACGAACGAACTTTGCAGTGACAGCGATTGAACGCTCGATCTTTTGAATAAGTATGACTCAAATGTATAACTGGTCCTTCATCTTTCCACGTATCGCAAATGTCTTTCGAGTCCGGTATGCAACCGAAGTTGACTTGAACGTAATTAAAATCCGGACAGCTTGGTACACCTGGTGTTGTGATTGATGATGAAAGCATTTCGTTCTTGGTTAGATTGATTACACACGTTTGTTGCCCGTTACAGGCAAGAATATTATGACTGGTACCTTCTTGTATACAATCGTAGATACTGAACTGACATTCTTGCAGTAGAGTTTGTTTTGTATAACCGTAGATGACGCGAACGATTTGTATATGTTCGTATTGTGAACAACGTAGATTTAAATGAACGGCATTCGTTTGTTGTAGACAGGCACTTTCGAAATGTAATGTTTCAACATTGGCATGTATAACAAGAAGAGGCGAAAACGAAAGGAAATGGAATACGATGAGTTGAAAGATCATGATTGAAGTTTAGATAGGTTTATGCAAGTTATGAGAGACAACGACAGCAAGTAGTGTTTGTCATTTTGTCGACAATCGACGACGGGACGAGGTCGGTGTGTTGACAAATAGATGAACATCAGAAGAGATAGACAAGAGAGAAGAGAAATAGTTAATCTCGAGCAAAAAAAAAACGAATAAAATGAAACACTTTCACGTACTACAGTGATTGTGATGCTTATGCAACATTACAGTCAGTGGAATGCCGCATTTCGAGAAGATACATTTAATTGAAGGTCTTATTTCTCTTCTGCTTCTTCAACAAGAAAGCTGAACGTAGTGTCAAAAAGTAAATCCTCCGAACGTGTTTTACTTACGATTTAATTCACCTTGTTCGTTATTAGTTTGTGATAATTTACCAATGTTCGTGTCGATTATATACATTGAATCTGTTGCTGAATCATTATCTGAGATCGGATAGGTATCTATATATGTACAAAGAAAAAAAACGAGTGTAGGAGGTCTATGCAAGGTGAACAAGAATATTTCTTTTCATTTTACCCCCTTCAATTATTCTTGTCATTGACAAAGCAAGTCCTTCGACACAATCATTCGATGAAATTTCTATTAAAAAACGATGAAATTGTAACTATTGAAATTTTGATTTCTTTACCATGATGATCATTAGTTGGTATGTTTATTGAATGTTCTTCTGTAGAGGAAAGAAAAAGAGAGAGAAAGAAAGAAATGAAAATCGATAATTGAACAAAATTGAGATTTGCGAGATACCTTGATTTTCCATAGTTTGTTTTCTGTATGTATTCAAATCACTAAATAATGAAAGAAAAACATATTCTCAGAGTTCATATTCATTAGTGAAGCAAAAGATATGATTACTCTTACTTTTTTCCTTCGTCTTTATGCTTCGCTCGCTTACTCGCCGTCGTCTGTTCAGAGAGAGAGAGAGAGAGAGAGAGGGGGAGCGCGTGTGTCTCTTTACCTATATATAATCTAGAAAAAAGGAGAGGAGAAGGAGAAGAAGAAGAAGAACGAATGAGGAGGAAACGAACAACGACTCACACACAATGTGCTTCCTTTCTTCATCGTCTTTTGTATGTTGCTGTGCTGAGAAAAGAGAAATGTTTCCATCCCAATGACTCTCGCACTCTAGCAAGTATATGTGGAATCACGCGGAGAGAAAGGAAAGAAGAACAGTAACAACAGAAAAAAAGTGCCAACGATGCCGGTGAGGCCAAACATTACAAAAGCTGCGTCTTAACATGCGCTCAGTCAAATAACATTTGTGTCATTGTCAACGGCAACAAAAAAAATCAATTAGGCTGCACTATTTTCACAATACACGTGTCACCCATTGCCTAGTGATTAGAATGTCTGTCTATTGTCTAGTAAAATTTTCTAATGCATTTGAAAACGCTGCTCATGAACGTAAATTAAAGATCATTAACGATAGATTCAACTATAATGAGAGTCGAAAAAGAAACCCATTGATCAAATACATATAATATACGTACACATTTGATGTTCAATTCGAGCGAGATGAAAGTCACACTAATCCTTCATTTTTCATTTAGCTTCACCTTTGATATCAATACAAAACATATCGTTCACAAGATCATGCGTTCAATTTCATGTATATGATCTAAAAAAAAACATTTTTTAACATTTTTTCTCATACATCACGGAAGAAGTGTTTCATTTTTTTTTCGTTTTTATTCTTTTAATTTAAATACGCGACATAAACCTTGCGTATACGCGCAAAGTATATGTCGCTTATCTTTCGTAATGACCATATCCATTATTCCACAATCTTGACCACCACCACTTTTCCATTCTTTTAATGGTTCACCATTTCTGATGTCCATCAAACGAATATGACCATCAAGACATGCTGTATAGAGAAGATAACCTTCATTTAATAAACATTTAACAATACCACTTTGTAAATTCAGTGTAGAACGTAGCTGTTTAGTATTTATATCCCAAATGTAAATATAACCAGATAGAGTACCACATATAAGTAAATGACCGGTTCCGAATATCACACTTTCAACACTTCTTGCTGTTTCATCCTCATTACTACCAGCGTCTTCATCATCTTCACCACCATCATCGTCATCGACCCCGTCACCTCTGGTCGATGATTTTGTTAATGATGGTTGAAAGCAAGCAAATGATGAGAGTAGTTTGCCGTTGTTTAAATTAAGCACTCGACAGTTTCCATCAGCTGAACCACAAGCTATTAATGTCTGTTCATCGTTTAAACACATTGAAATACACTTATTATTATTGTTGTTAGCGGCAGCAGCATCACCTTCACCACTGTTGTCATACTGCCAAACAATTGAACATTGTTTCAAATCCCACAGTTTGATATGACCATTGCCATAACCACTGATACATTGTTTACCTAAAAGAATTTTCAAGATAATCATGGTACGAAGAAAAACTGCATAATTCGATTCCGTTGATGATTGATGACATTGTTAATCGAATACATCAAGTGTTCGATCAACTTGAACTACGCTACTAATGATGTAACAAGAATTCTATTAAACATGGAATCGCGTAGGTTCTAGAGAACAATGCTTGTCGGATTTGTCTATTGCGACATGCATATATATATCTTGAATGTCTGTTAATACAAGGTCAACATTGATGGCGTTAAGTAGTTGCTCTGGTACTTTTGTTTTTCTTTTGTGTGTGTGTGTGTGTATGTATGTATTTCATCTCAGACTACTTCCTTAAGGGAACAAATATGATTAAGTGAGTTTTTCTTACAATATCTTAAACATATGTTCTAGGCGGACTTTTCTCGTTTTTAAACTACTTCAAAACTTACGTGTGTCGAGAGTATCGATGAAAGATGCGTTTGCTTGTGTCCAGAACATCCCCGTCGAGAAGACCCATGCGAAGTAAGCGCGAGCGAGTAGGAGAAAAAAAGTTATGATAACATTGTATATATGTTGACTTCGGAGACGTTATGATATCGAAAGCGGCTACCGAGGGAGAAAAAGATAACATATTCAAACTTGTTCGACGATTAATCTAGAAATTTTCTGGTTCATCGCGCGTCGACTCATTTTTCAATAGAACCAAATCGAATGGTTATCTAACCTTGGAATGTATTAGACTTTCATTCATATTTATTAGTATTTACAAATGCAAAAGAAGACATAACAAACGTATATCCAACGAATTGCTAATCAAAGCACAGAACAAATATGGTATGACGTAGTTTCTCTGAAGTTTTCTATTTGTCGATTGTTAGATAGTTGGAAAAGTGTTGCTGTCATTAAACAGAACTCTTTCATCATTAGTAAGAAACAGATAAGATTATTGACGAACTAAGATATTCAGACGAGCACAGAAAGATCTGTATTTGAAAGGCAACGAGTGTGTATATCTACGATTCGACTAATAAATATCTCCTTGTTCAATTATTGATTCCTCCCGAGATTCGAGTGAAGATTATCCTTGAGGAGTAGACACATTCTTAATCATCTGTATACTAGTCGTAACGAGAGAAGGAAAAAAAAGCGAAATAAGTATTGTTTCGTCTTACCATTTGAAAGGACTTCTAATGTCGTAATTTCTGTATCACCACCACCATGCATAATTTTGTATTCTCCTGATGGAATTTTAAATAACCATAATTGTGAATCATTAGTTCCAACAAATAGAACATGTGCCGAGGGATGAAAGCGCATTAATTCAATATCGTTACCCGTATGGAAGGACCAAACTTCAGTTGTCGGAATACCGTCAGCATTATCGGTCCAACAACGGATTTGACCACGCATGTCGCATGCACATAAGTATTTACCATCGAAACTCCAGCATACTTGATGTACACTGTCGTCGAATGGCGGATACTCATGTATTAGTTCACCGGTATCTAAACGCCAAACAAGACAACGATCGTCTTCACCACCGGAACAAACACGAGCTTGTGTTCGAGGATCGATTGATACTGTAAAGATTGAACTGTCTGGTTTATGATGAGAAAGTTTCAATAACGAATCATCTTCTTCTTCTTCTTCTTCTTGTCCATGTTCATCTTCCATAGGATCATCGATATCCAACGCATCTAAGTGATTTTCTGCTGATGAATCAACATCGATGATTTCGAAGGCATCATTGGCATCGATATGAATATTTTCATCGTCGTCTGAATCAGCATGTGCACGACGTTCAGGAGAATTTTTATCCTTCATCTTTTTTCTGCAAAAAAGAAAACAATACTGTTCTAATCAACAATCAAACAGATGATGATGATGCTGCAAACATATATATATAGTATATAGAAGAATAGAATGATCTGATTGGTGCGTGGCAATTGACTAATAGAAATTGATATTCGTCAGTTCGTTTATAATGGCCAAAGAAAGAATGAGAAGCAATTCTTATTTCGCAGTCAAATGATTTTGAATATATGAAGGGGAACTCTCGAAAAACCAATCATTCATTGATTAAAGATAAACATTCCGACCATTGATAGACACTCACTTGTTTCATCGCCGAAACTTCTCGAAATATATACATTGAACCATTAACATTCGAGAATAGTTAAAAAGGAAAGTCATCATCAGATAAAAATTTTCATTTTATAACGTCCGAAACAACATGACGTCGTTCGATTCTAAGGATTGAATTTCGATATGCTCGAATGATTTCTTCGCATATTTTGTTTTTTATGTTATTCACGGTTTTTTTAGGTAAAATTACCTCTGTCTATGCACATGTTTTCGTTTCTCACTATCCTTCTATACTTAATTCATGCTGTAACAAGCGCTGGGTCTCCTCCGATAGTCTTATGGCATGGTATGGGTGATAGCTGTTGTAATCCACTAAGTCTGGGTTCGATAATCAAACTACTCAAGCAGCAACTATCCGATCCATATGTTCTATCCTTACGAATCGGTTCGAATATTGTCGAAGACACTTCGAATGGATTTTTTATGAATGCTAATCATCAAATTGATTATGCTTGTAAATTATTAAATGCTGATAAGAATCTTACGCAAGGTTATCATGCAATTGGGTAAGTAAAAATATTGATTTTCTGTGAAAATTATCGAGGATTTTGTCCGGAAAGGTTTTCTCAAGGTGGACAATTCCTTCGAGCCGTTGCGCAACGTTGTCCAGAACCTCCGATGCTTAATTTAATCTCGATCGGTGGTCAACATCAAGGTGTCTTTGGCTTTCCTCGGTGTCCTGGTGATAATGAAACGATCTGTAATTATATTCGTGATCTGTTACGTTTCGGTGCTTATGAATCGTTCGTTCAAAATCATCTCGTACAAGCTGAATACTGGCACGATCGTATGTTAAAATTCTACTTTCATTCTTCTGTTAGCTTCTTTCCTTTAGCCCATAAGGAGACAACTTATCGTAAAGCAAGTGTATTCTTAGCTGATATTAATCAAGAGAGAACGTTTAACGAACAATACAAAACGAATTTATTGAAAATACGTAATTTAATTCTGGTGAAATTTCTACGTGATACAATGGTAACGCCACACGAAAGTGAACATTTTGGTTTTTACGAAGAAAAAGATACATCAAAAATTATTCCATTACGGGAAAGTTCTCTTTATTCCAAAGATTTATTAGGTTTGAAAACGATGGATGAGCAATCGCGTATCAAATTCCTTGAATCAGATACTGATCATTTACAATTTACGGATCAATGGTTCATTGACAACATCATCCCATATCTCAAAGACTGAAAAGAAAAATCTGTTTATTGTCGTCGTTCTTTTTTAATTACTGTAAAACATATATCCTGAAAATGTTGTATAAGAATAACCGTAAATTTGCGAAGTAAAACCTTCATTAGAACCGATCACCGATACTTGATCACCAATGTGACAATAGATAAAACAATCAATCGAGCTACTTGTCCAGCCCCAGCCAATTGTTTTGTCGTTGACTGTTATCGTTGAGTCTATTCTAATCGGACAGATGTATTGACCATTTTTTGCAATATTGATCAAGGCCTGTACATATATGAAAATACGTTTAGTGGAAAGAAAAAGCGAATGATTTCTTACTTTTGATCGGGAAACAGAAACTGTAAGAAAGAATTGGTAGAGACCATCGGCAGGCGCTGTAAAAATCCCTGTCTCAGCTGAGAAATAATTTGGAACACTACGAAAATTATAGGATTGATACAATCTCCATGGGTGAACTGTACTATTAGCAGTTTCGATGACAAATAATCGTGACAACTCAGCGTAGAATGACACCGGTCGTTCGGTAAATCCATCACGACCTGAACATAACATGAAAAACAATAGATCATTTGTTTTCACGCGCAGATATACATACCAGGAGGACCACTTATCCCTTGCGGGCCTTGAGGACCACGAGAACCTGACAAGTATAGATAGAATACATAAAGAAGTTCAATTTTATGCTTACCCATCACGCCTGGTGTACCAGGTGAGCCCGAAAGGCTGAGGACAGTGAATGGAATGTATTCTGACCAATCTAAACACGACATTTGATTACTATCTTTTCAAGATCGATCTTACCTCGACATAAAAATTCCATAAAGCAATCTTCAACCTCATGGCTTTGAATAACTATGTCAAATCGACAAGAACGAACAAACATCGATACAATAAACATCACCTTCCACGTCATGTTCATGTGCGATACAATCTGTGCTTTAAAGATTCTTTTAATGAATACAATTATCATTGAAAAGATCTTCTCTATCGTCTATGAAACCTATCGAACTGTAAAAGTAATTAAGATTGCAGTCATTTTCTCATACGCATACATGCATGAATGAAATATTCAATTTTATTATACAAAACAATAAATGGATATATATAGAAGCAGAGAAAAATTCATTTTGTCTCGGCATCTTCAGATGAGTGATAGTTCTTGCGTCGTTCTCCCTGAACTAAATATGAAAAACTGAAGAATTTAATCACAAAATGTTGCAACTAACCTTCATCGCCCTCATCTTCCTCGTCATCGTCAACTTCGGGAAAGAGACTGTTGATATACTGTTCCGTTGGATCAGGTTTTTTCTGCTTCGAGGTTTTTGTTGGTCGATGTTTTGATACCTCAAATTTAGCGTACTCAAGTGCCTTTTAAATAAATTATATATAGATCGTTTTGAAGAATGACGTATTGAGAATATAATTTACTCGATTTCTTTTTGATGCTCCGTCTGAATCACGTGACTGTCCGAACGATTTTCGAGAACTAATATCTCGCGGAGAACGATAGTCTTCACTCGTATCGACTACAGGTCGTTCAATTTTTGAAGCATATTGCATACGTTTTCGGGCCAGTTCTTTCTACAAAACGATAGTACAGATGAATAAGGTGAACAACGGTGTGACTGGATCAATATACATACACGATCAACATTTTCGGCCTTATAGGAGCCATAGGGATTGAATTGAGACTCCGTTTTTTGCAAATCTTTGTAATCTTTTAGCGTGTATTTTTTATAAGGGAAATAATAACCTTGAGATTCACGTACTGCTCGACGACGTTGGTTTTCCAGATAGCTATCTAAAAGATCGAGCAGATCAAAGTAAGAGTTTGAAAGGATGAATTGACAAACCGGTGGATATCGATTGTTGAAGATAGAGAGCTTCATGAACACTTGGATGAGATCTCTGCTTCGGTAAATCATTTCTTTCATGCTGAGGGTATTCGTACATGTCACGATCATTATAATGTTGAGCACTGTCTTCATAATCTTTATTGTTTCTATTGAATCCTTTACGATCATTCGAACTCTCGTTGTACGACGAATGCTGATCTGATGCATAGTCATCATTTGGAAGAAACTTTCGACGGAACGGATGGCCAGGTGCTAATGAATGACCGAAATTAGGTCCATTGGTAGGTGGTCCTTGTCCTCGTCGAACAGGTGGCAACGATGAATTATTCTTTCGATTCGCTCGATATGTTCGATTCTGATTCTGCATATTATTGCTATTTTCATCTATGGAACTCGTATTATCTTCAGTTTCTAAATCATCACGACGACCTCGATAATAATTTGGTACCGATAGTGACTGTGTCATATTTCGTCGTGTTTTACTACCAATACCATTGTCTCTCGTATCCAATGAAGCTTGTGTTATTTGAGCTAATGGTTGTTTCTTGTTCATAGGATAAGTTCCATTAGTTAGTTGGATTGCTGTCGCTCGCATTGGAACTGGTTTGTTCTTTTGCTTATTCATAGTTGGATTATTCGATTCATGACTATTGTTACCATTTAGCGGAGAACGATGATGACCTGATGAGACTTGATTCTCAGGATCAAGAAGCCTAACTTGAGACGCTGATAACAAATGATATGCTGTCGCAGTTTGTTGCATCATCGGGTCGGTAGACGATGTCTACAAATAATGAAGACTCATTTTTCAACTCGAACTCCAGCTACTCTGCTAAAGATGTGGCATTCTCAAAATATGACTTACCGTACTGCTAGAAAAATGTTATTGGCTTTTCTCAGAAAAACAATTTCGACATAGACAAATAGGTAATATTGCTATGCAACAGAGATCTCCAGTTTTGAGAAAAATGAATTTCTAAGAGCACTTCTCTCCTAGTTTTGTCCACTTCATTTGACGCGATAATTACAAATATGACGAGTTATTTCCTTCCTACATTCGATATTGCGTTCTTTTCCGAGAAGCATCTCACGTACTTCATATTGATTGTTACCAACAGCGTAGTGTTCCTCATTGCGATGCGATCCTGTTGTTCTTTGGATATAAGCATTCAAATAACTATTATGAGTATTGACCAATTGATTGTCGTACTTGTCTCTGAGATAATATTTCGGCTGTTGTTGGATATCATAAATCTCATCTGAATTCGCTGTTGGGTGCCGTCTAGCAGTTAGGTGAGTTGTCAATGGTCCCAAACCCAAATTATGCGCGCCTAAAAAACCTAAGGACAATATAATTCAATCGAAAAGTTAATCCGAGTTCCACCTTGGTTAACTTGCGATCCTAGGTTGTTGTAATGCGTATTTGATGGTGGTGCTATTTTGTAGTATGCTGTAGTCATTGGAATGGCAATCGCCTTACGAGTAACAAAAGGAAATTGTATGAGAATAGCACTTCGTTAGAAAAACAGAATTGGTAATAGATGAAACCAAAAAAGCACACTATATTCTATGCAAATAGAAGAACGAAGAGAGAAGAATGGAAGACTTTTTTTCTCGGCTTAGTTATAAATTTGATTGTCCATCAGTGAACAACGATAGGTGTATGGGAGGAAGGTAGAAAAACAAACGATGAAAAGAATTCAAGTTTCATTCTTCAATCATTTTGACTCTTTTCTTCTCTTCTAGCGATGTGTTTTATTTAAATATAAAAAAATCTAGTTCACGAAGAAGAATATAATCTTTTAAATGCTTATTCAAACAGATTCCTTTTAATTTACAATGAATACCCATGGAAAGTGATTTACGAATTGAACGACGACAGTAAAATTTCAATTGTTCGGGTTTTTCGAGAGATTTCGAGATGAGTTTTTCTAAAATGCACCGCCGTGAATAATCCAGTGGTACATTCAAGTGTTCACTCATCGATTGAACTAATGTTAAACCATGGTCAACATGAATTGTGTATAAAAGTACACAAAATCGGTTTGGTTCAGCATCGACTGTCACTCGTTCGAGATAATTTGAGAAAAACAACAAGTAATTTGTAATATGAAACCGTTGACTTAGATAAATCACATGTGAAAAATAATGACTGTAGATAAATGTATGTTGAATAGAACTTTCAAGTGTACATGTTAATTGTTTTGTCAAATGAAGATTTAGAAATATATTCCAAGCAAAATCTTCCAAATCAGTTCGTTGTCGAATCAGTGAATAGGAAAGAAAATCGAATAATGGAAAAAGATGAACATGACTGTGACTTTTGCCAATAATCGCATGAGATAAATACGACCCGATCGAATATTGATTTACTAATAAATCAACTATACATAAACGATTAGTGTATTGAGCATGTTCGAAGGGAGATGTATACGATAAACATGAAAGAGCATAGCGAACTGGAAATGATTGATTAGCAAGAATTTAGATGTGATTGGACTTACGAATATTATAGCCAATAGAATTTTCAATTGAGATGTCCGCTTGATGTTCAACTAATAACTTCATGGATTGATAATCAGCTCGATAACATGCGTAATGCAGTGGCGTGAGCTATCAGAATCAGTCGAAGTTTATCAGAGAGAAATGAGTTGAACTTACTCCATGTTCATCTCGATGGTTGACATCTGCACCGTGCTCAATAAGATACGAAATCAAGTCGAGTGTATATTTGGACGAAGGATACTCCAATGCATAGATCAACGGCGTTTTTCCATTTCGATCTGATATGTTAACATAACCACCACATTCAATAAGAATCTCCGTTAATGTTCGATCACCCAGTGAACATGCACGATGTAGATCAGAACATAGAATTTCCCCTGAGCGTGTATTCGGATCTGCGCCGAGCTGAACGAACGAAATCTTTCGACATCTAGACAACATATTTTCATGCTAGACTTTACTTGTAACAACGTAAACAATGTATCAAGATGTTCATGAAAGTAAGATGTCCACACAGCTGTATTTCCGTATGTATCACTGTCGTTGATGTCAACACCAAGTCGAATAAGATCTTCACATTCCGCTGTTTCTCCATTTCGAGCCGCATCGATTAGTGTTCGACAATTGAACGTCCATGGCAATAATTCATCGAATAAACGCACTATATCATTTTCTTTCGTGTGAAATGAACGTAACGATTGGTGACTATTCGAAATGGTGGGGTTATTCATCAATCAATCAAAAACTCATCGAATAAGAAAACAATTACGTACAAGAGTAATGCAAAGGTAGAAGTGAGTAGTTAGTTTGAGAAGAGAATGCAGAAATATGATATTTAGATAGTTGTAACTATGCAATCAAATTCAAATTGACTTAACACAAAAATATGCGTGAATATCGATAGGATACGATTTATCTTTTTATTTAAAAAAATAAAAACTCTGATATCTTTATGAAATATTTCACAAATGCTCAAGAACTACGATTGTAATTGTGACCATTCATCGGGAGATTTTGTGCTGTTACCAAAGCGTTTTGGTTTAGCTAAATATTCTTTCGATTGCATTTCAATTAGACGCGATAAAGTCCGATCGAATGAATGAAATTCATCCATAGTTAAGAGATCTTCACGTTTTAGTTGTGGATTATCTTTCAACGGATTGAAGATATCTTTCACTGTATCCACAGACATAGATAGAATCAATTTTGTATGATTATTGTATAACTCGTCAACGAGAATAATAAACCGTCGAATGCGATCACGTTGTTCTAGACTTAACTTGGGTATATCAGTTAAAATCAATGTATGATATGTAGAAGCAATCGCGATGTAATCCGCTGAATAAAATTCATGACCACACAATTGTTCAAATGAAAATTTGGCCACGCCACGTGCTTGCCATGGCACCGTAATGTCCCGACCATTGACATCAAGTGTACCAGGCTGAGGTTCATATGGTGCAATTAGACGTGAACTGAGTGCATCGATTTCCGATGCGGTTTCTGGCCGACGAGCGTCGAACACAGTTTGCACATGTCCCTGAAAGTCAATTAAATGCAGTTCCAATACAAATAAGATGACGACATACCTGAGTACCAATTAAACGATAATCAGTTGATGAATCCATGTTATGCACGGCACACATTTGGTGTAGAAATGGGATAAACGGTACGAAATATTCTCTATTCAATCCTCGATAATATAAATCGTCTGGCGGCCGATTTGATGTTGCAACCATAACCATACCCTTAGCGAACAAATGTTCAAACAACCGTTTGATAATCATTGCATCACCAATATCCAAAACCATGAATTCATCGAAACATAAGAGCCAGATTTCATTCAACAATTCTTCAACTACACTACCAAGAAGATTATCAGATACTGCGGCGTTGTTACTTCGAACGCGATGCATACCTCAAAAGTTAAATGCAGGTATTTGTCATGAATGAAAAGATAGTGCAAAGACATACGATTATGAAATTCCAACATGAAACTATTGAAATGAATTCGTCGTTTTTCTTTAATCGGCACACATTCATAGAAAATGTCCATCAGTAAACTCTACGATTACACACACAGGTTGATAAATATCGATGGGTATAGTTTGCGATTACCTTCCCACACCCGGCACCACCATATATATACAACGATTTAGGTCTGTCAACAAAATCACTTGTATTCGTCGATGTTTTAAATACATTCGTTAATTTCGATAATATGTTTTTCTTTTTATCTGATAGAGTCGTCGTTTCGATCTGCCGCGTTTCAGGCTCATAAACTTGAAGATCATAATATAACTTATCCAGCATAGTCATCAACTGTTCTTGACGTGGATCAGCACGTAACTAAATGATTTTCTTAGATTGAGAAATAATCTTTGCAGAATGGAAAGCAAACCTCGTACGCTTGGATTTTATTTCGATAGATTTGAAGTGGAGATGATTCTGCTTGAGCTGTATAGAGTGTCCGAACATGATTCAATGAGAATCGCAGCCGACGAAAAGAACATGAAAGAATTATCCTATTCAGATGCATTCGATATTAAATACTATATTATTCCGTTCCGCAAAATCATCCGAAGGCTACTTGCTAACCGAGAGAATATCAACTAATCAGAAAAACTTTTCGAGTGAGGTCGCCAGATCATTGAAAAACTTACTTCTTTGCTAATAAATCGGTATCGAATTTTTCTCTTGAATAGAATGACAAGATAGTTGATAGCGTTGATTACATTTTTTCCACTTGACTACTTGACGAACGAGAAAGAGAGAGAGAGAAATGAATAGATAAGAAAATTAATACTGAGGGACGAGTGTTAAAGAGTGATTGTAATAAGGAAGAAATAATAGATGTGTGGCATGTTCGCACAGTCCTGAAGAACGGGAAAAAAGGAGTGAGTGAGAAGAAAACTTTTCTTTAGAATGATTTTACACGAGATCCTATTGTGCTCGGTAATGGAACTTTTCCATCATCTCCCTCGTCATTTATCTTTTTACTACTCGCAATGATTGAATGTAAACTATATGAATAGAAATCTTCTTCCGTTCATCTTTATTGTCAGTGTTTCGTATGTTGGTAAGATTAATAGGTTGTTTGAAACGATTTGAATTGAAACTCGACCTATCTTTTAGCTGGAGTAATTGAACAGCAATTGATACGAAAATTGTTAACATATTATGAACCGTCGGTTCGACCGGTATTCCATGCTCAATCCGTAGTCAATGTGTTATTTCGAATGGAAATTACGCAATTATTTGAATTAGTAAGACTCAGAATAGTTTACAAGTTTGTTGAGTCGAGATGACCTCTGTTTAGGACGAAAAAACCCAGATTTTAATAACAAGCGTTCGAGTTGAACAAAAATGGTTCGACGAAAATCTTTCGTGGAATCTAACAGAGTATGGTGGAATTCGAGGTATTCGTTTACCGTCGAACCGGATATGGTTGCCTGACAGCTATGTCTACAATGCTGCATTTGATTTAACAGGTCATGCACCGGCACAGGCTATTGTTCATGGTATGATGAGGCAACGACAAGCTTTTAGCCGAAGTTGTATCGATTTTTTTTTCAGGCCCATATGTGATGATTTATTATACGGGTGAAGTTGTCTTTCCTGTCCTGATGAAACTACGCACAACATGCAAAGTGAATATAAAATATTTTCCATTCGATCGACAAGTTTGTGGTTTGAAATTCGCATCATGGATCTATGATACTTCATCGGTTCAATATGAACTTGTTACTAATCCAAACGATCCACAACAAACGGAAAATCTACGCAATAGTGGCGGATGGGAGATACTTGATGTCAAACAAGGTCTCGTTTGGCTGTAAGTATTTGACTAACTCAGCAAGATAATTTGTGTCAATGAGACTACTATTGCAGCATAGAGATAGAGAACAACTGATTCTTGTTTTTTTTTCGATTGAACTGGAACAACAGTTTTCCATTTCTATTGAATAATTCATATCCGTATTCAGCCTCGATCTGTTATGTTTTCTGTCTTGAATCATTAGATGTCGGATCGTAGAAAGCATTGTCAGCATGTTTTAAGCAAATAAAGACTCGTTTATCCTTTTTAGCATTAAAAATAATAAAACCTACGCGGAACTGGTGTATGGTGTGCATATTAGGCGTCGTCCATTATATTATATCTTTAATGTAATCATTCCATGTGCAATGCTTTCATGTTTAACTTGCATGTCGTTTTGGTAAGAAGAAAACAGCGCAGTGGTAGTCTAATGTGTTAAAATGTAAAACACTAGGTTGCCGACGTCATCAGGTGAAAAGGTCACTCTTGGTCTAACTTGTTTCGTGGCCTTCTCTGTATTTATGCTGATGGTAGCAGAAAAAGTTCCAGCCACTTCGGATACCATACCCACAATCGGTAACGACTCTTTCATACTTTGTTCTCTTATCTGAAATGTCGTATATTCAGGAATCTATCTAACAATCGTTATGAGTTTAACAGTAAGATCTTTTTCTTTTTGAGAGAAGACCTGACGTTCGCTGTTGTCCATTGTAGTCAGTGTCAGTCATTATGGCAGTTATTGTAGCAAATGTGTATCAATACGCAGCAATGTGCACATCCGAAAAACATCGTGCACCTCGATGGTTGATTAAATTCGCACTTATCTATATGTCTCCTCTTCTTCATATGCAGAACAAGGTCAAAGCAATATTGAGTCAAAAGGTAAGCGAATAGTTGCCTTGTTTTTTTGTCATTGTTTGAAAATATCAAATGAAAGTTCATCTATTCGATTGGATGAGAATGAAAGAGGGAAAGAGAGAAAGAGCGTTGGTGCGTAACGGTTAATAAAATTCAGTTCGAGAGACATATCTATTCTTGTCTGTACTCCATTCACTGGTTATACGTGTCTAAAAATGTATCCAAATATGAGACTTCGTCGCAATTATTCATGGGACAATTGGGGCTCTCACGGATATGCATTTGGTATTATACTTCTAATCATTGGTATTCTCACACAAGTTCTCGAATATCCACGTATTTACAATGGGCCAACGAATGAAGATTACGGTTTGAATTTGGTGACAGAATATTACAATCACTGGTGGCCATGGACATATGCAGCTAGTATTTTTGGTTTACTAACATTTGTAGCTGGTTTGATGGGAATCATCGCTGGATATCGACGAAGCTATGGTTCAATTTTAACATTTTTCGTCATGTGTTTGTCTTCAACCTTGTTTGCTGTGTATCTAATCGTCTATTTTGCATTTATTATTGCATTCTATCGTTCGATGAACAAGGATCAAGCAAGTCAACGCACATCATCGGAATCGGTCGCCTATGGTCTCGCTAGTACTCAATTAGCGATCGCCTGTGTCAATGTTCTGGCAAGTCTATTGGCCGCAATATTCTCTGCACGTGCTATTGCACTTTGTGTACCAAAAGGTGTTCACTATGACGATGTTCGACCAACACCAAGACAAGTTCCATACGGAATGCCTCCCAATCATTTTTAATTAATTCGATTATGATTTCATGTTCATTGATCTCATTCGTTTTTTCGTTGCATCTTCGTTTCTAGTAGTTCGAATCTTATTTATTAGACTTGAAAACTTTTCTCGATTTTTGTCCAATAGAAAAAAAAATGATAAATAAACTTTGTCACCCACCGAAGCCTTTCACTCTAATCGTCTTATAACTGCACACTCTAAATCTTCACATATGATTTCAGGCAGGATCAACAACGAATCAGAATTTATCATTGGAGCCTGATGCTTTACCGGCTGCGTCCACGAAGAGCGGACTTGATGCCAACTATGAGAATATGATCGAAAACTTACTACTACAACAGGTTTTACTCTACACAAGGCAACGATCGAAAACACCACGACATGCACATACACCATCGACAACATCAAACTCCTTATTCGTGCGACAACCTGTCATGGCACAAAATGATCAAGCTATATCTACATCATCGGGCAATTCTCCGAGTTGCACACATGTTAACAGTGAAGAAAACGACGAAGAGCCAACATTATGTTTGATAGAATCACATGAAAAGAACTCGAGTGATCTTATTCAAGATATTCTGAAGCAATACAATCGACGTAGTAATAAAAATTCCCGTTTCGATCGAGATTTAATGGAATTAATTGTCGAACGAAATCGTAAACGTCGAAGTATTGCTTGTAACCCAAACAATACATTCTATTCTCGTCTTCAATGGTTAGCCATTGGTTTAGTTATTGACCGATTATTTTTCTATGTTTATTTTACCGCGACCATCCTTTCATATTTTGTTACTCTATGGCTAATACCTTTTTCTCACCCGAAATTAACTATCGATATCAATAAATTATAAATAAAAGAAGTTTATGTCGATAAAAAAAAATTTATTTGAAATATTGCATACACATAAATACACGCCCACCGGCATTGAATTTGTAAAGATATAAACAAAATAGAATTGCTTAATTTTGCTTCAAGTTCTTGGTAAAACGATCTAGAAATGCTCGTGTAATACTACCTGGACGTCGTTGATGAGTTTCGATCATTTTTTCAATTCGAGTTTTCACCTAGAGTAAAACACACACAATACAGGCTGAACATGAAGGAGAACTTGATTTACTCGTTGAGCAAGTTCATCTGGTGTAACTTCAGGATCATATGGAATAGGTTCGCCAAGGTATGTACTGAATTTAAACAAAAGATATCAAAGAGAAAATATAAATCATTGCCTTACATCATTTTGACTGGAAATATTCCATAGATAGGCACTAATGGTAGACGAGTTTTTTCATAGATGTAACTGAGAAAGCCTAAAGATGTTCGTGGAAGAAAGAAATGAGATCTTTCAGCGGAAGTGCAAACTTACGGCGACCGATTGTCATCGCTCGTACCACCTCTCGACAATTTTTTGTAAACATTGGGATGATAGGCTAAATTGAAATGTGTTCTATGACAATCGATGATTTTCAATTCATTTACATACAACTTTCGCATCGATTGCAACTTTAGCAAATCCTTTTCTCTCTTTCCATATCAGTTGATAATTTTGATCACCAAAAAGCGCTTCTCTAACACCGCCTAAAACCAACTCAATTTTGAAGATATTTACTGATCACTACTATGCTTACCAGGTGACACAGCAAGTATGTGCCCTTCTTCGAGCATTAATTTACACATCGCAGATGTTGCTGGTTGAATTTCTAGCGCTTCCAAGAGGGTAGCCAGACCTTCGCAGAAATCAACAACTAAGTTTTTCATATCACAAGTTTAGTGACAAACCAGGTATTTTGAAAACAAATTTATCAGCTACTACTCGGACTCGCCGATTACGATACAGCCAAATCTTTGCAAAAACGTAGTAGAAATCAAGTGGAAGAGTAGCATGATAGAAAACAATGAGAGCTGGGCCTTCACTTGGAATATTCTCCAAGCCTTCGACTTCATAGCCTACAAGATCAAAATACAATCCTTCACTGAGGAAATCCTGTCGATGTTGTTACTCACCATGCCATATAGTCGCTTGTAACTCCCAAAACACAGCCAATGTTTTTATAGCTCCATACCAAAGATCTTCTGAATATGCAGCCTAGAGAAAACATATCACTTTTCTCTCCTTATATGTTCAATCTCGACTGATTTACTTTCAATCGGTTCCAGTGTTTGTAAATTAAACAAAATAACGATGAACCGTACATAAATACAAGGATAATAGCTGGTAGAAGGAATAACGTTAATAGAGCTATGCATAGTGGTTTAAATAACGTCCATAACCATGCCAAATAGATTAAATCGAAATTTGAGCGTTCAAGTAATGCTACGAAATAAGAAATAATTTTGCTAAAAACCATTTTAGTCGCTGCTATCCGACCTGAGAAAAATATACAATTGAATATCTAAAAAAAAAGGCGCCAGAAAGATGTATGTTTACTCGTAAACAAAATGAACAGTTCCAACTTTCACTTCCGTTTGGGAAAGGCAATGTTTTAAATTATTCATTGCTTTCGTCCTAGATAAATCTATTTCAGTCGTATTGACTCGATGAAATCAAATCTTGATTTCGAATTTAATGGAAGAATCTGTAAGATACGCGATATCTGACTGAGCTTCTCTGTTCGATATCAGATTCCAAAGTGATATTCGATATTCAACAGCCAATTACAATATGATATTTGATATCAGAATTTTTTAGTATAACTAACAGCTGTTATTTGATCTTAACATGATATTCGATCATCTATAGTAACTGTAGAAATTGAAATTAAACAGTTGAGTACTGTTGATTACTATCGGATGATGAAAAGCACCCTGTTATGAAACGAATCGAAAGAAAAACGAGAGAAGGTATATGTGACTCTAACTTACGCGAAACAACGAATCAATCGCAATGAGTAGTTCTTAAGCTATTCAATGCTAACGCATATCAACTGACCGACTTACATGTGTTTACATAAGAAAAGACAAACAAGATGAAAAATAAAACGACAATTTATTTGTTATTGATATGATCACAAAAAAAAATACGGAACAAAACGAAGAAAAATATCACAAAATAGGTATTGATTACTTTCGCTTTTCAGTTTAATTAATTATCCAGATGTTTAGCTGTTTGCATTGCAGCATTGATACGAAATTGGAGACGAGATTCAAGCTGATAATCTTTGTAATCATTTCTGAAATTAACAATCACAAATAGAAATGCAATGCAACATCTTGCAAATGCTTTTCAGCGGAACTTACAGCGACTTTTGTAGGTATTCCAACGCTTTTTGCTTTTGTTTTAAATTCAAGTAGATCAAGCCTTTTTCCAGTGCGGCATTCGCTGCCAGGAATGATTTCTCGTCGAATTGCTTTGCCCTAGAGGCAGATTTCAATAACATAAAATGAAGCAAAATCAAACGAACATTTCGATTATTTCATCAAATGCTTGATGTGCTTCGTCGTATCGATGAAGAAAGTGAAGAAGTACGCCACGAAGTAACAATCCCGAACCATAACTATCCGCATAGAATTGATCATCTGTAAACAAGGACAATTGCGTACACATTGATTTCAACGAAAAAATCAATTACTTTGATGATGATGCTCCAACTCATCTAAAGCATTATCAACAACATCGAGTGTTTCTTTCAATTTTTGATGATCATGTGCAAGAATGTAAAATCCATTGAGAAGGTAGATGAATTCCTAGAATAAAACATTTAGGCTCATCTCATATGATCTTGGTTCATCGTCATTAACGTCAAATCGAATCCTTCTCGGGAAAAAAATTCTCTCGTGTCACGAAGTGCAAAAAATTTGCGCAGTTATTGTTTTTCATGTTAATATCTGACAACAAAATCGATTTGAGGAGTCGACAATAGATGTCGGTAGTTACCAATGCGGGTAGGAATAACCATCGCTGGACGAGAAAATGATCACATTGTCTCATAGCATATTTCTCCAAAGGAATCGATTTGCCCGCAAGACGAATCTTCAATTCAGGAACTCGTCTGGAACAAAAGAAAAATGACTTGTATTGTATTGAATTACTCCGTACGTACTTATACAATTTGATAACTTCATCTGTAGGAATTCGATTATTTTCTTCGAAAAGAAATGTCGATAATAGATAACAGTACGTTGCTTTACTCCAATTGTTTTCATTAAGCAAAATTTTGCATATGTCTACTGCACGTTTCCAGTCTTTTTGCAGTCTAACAGGAAGAAATTCAGTGGTTCATAGCATTTTCAAGCGCTTAAACTTACGCATGACAGAATAAAATCTCCCAATATGCAATCTACAAAGATACAAAGTCGAAAGTTCGATTTCCTTATTGACTTCTTACATGATGAAGATGTTTCCAATCATTTTGACATCGCATTGCATATTCGTATGTTCGAATAGCCTGAATACAAACAATGTTATACAAATTGTTCTTTTTTTCTTTATCAATTACTTCATTCAGTTGACAGTGTAAAGTATGAAGTCGTGCACGAAAGAATAGGAATAAGTAAGACTAAAACAGATAAATAAGAACAGTTTATCATTTAACTTTGTCTATTCGAAATTCGAGAGCGACTTTTCTAATCAGCTTTTACATTTGATACCGAATACAAAGAAATCAAAGCAAAACAGCTCGCAGTATACATCGATGAATATGATATACGTAGATCCAAATTCAAACAATTACTTTCGAGTGAATAGTCGAATAACTGAAGAGAAATACTTGAAATCAAAATAAGTAATCACATCAAAACATAACATAATCGTATAACCTTCAATCACAATATATCTATATAATTCTCAATGCTCTTTTCCTCAAAATATCATTGCAGCAATCGGATATGGGTGTGGATTGAAATCTGATCTGATTTCCCTCTCTCTCCCTCTCCCATACATACTCTCGTTCTAACCAAAGTTAATGAAGATGCTCCATTTTCTTTTTTTCTCTGTTCGAAAGCAGAAGGATAAAGAAAATGTTCATCTCTTTCTCGTTCTCTTCCACGTACACATACAGACGAAATCGATCTGTGATTCTTTTGATAAAAAAAAGTGTAAAAAATCAAAGGTAATTTGAGTATAATTCAATATAGGAAAAATAATCAGCAGCAGTCTAATCTAAGAGTACGATGACCAATAAGCATCACTACTATGACGACTACTCTTGGACTTTATCGAATAGATGAATATAAAGAGTAATTCGATAGGACGACATAGCGAACGTGAGGAAGAAATCAGATATCGACACCAACGCTGCTGAAATCTAATTCCATTCTGATCTCTCTTTCTCTTCTCTTCTCTTTTACCCTCGTCTCATTCATGTTACTTCTGCTTGACAGATAGACGACGACAACGACAATAGCGAAACGAATACTCGAACTGTTTCAATCATGAAAACAAGCGTTCATATCAAAGATGAACCGGTTGAATTGCAAGTTAATGAACTACTTCGTTTGTACGGATACAATCTAACTGATGCGCCAAAGATAAAACCTTCACGAACGAAATCAACTGTTACTCAAGATCAACAAGAAGGTATGTTTGCAGGAGTGAATTCACTTTCGCGTCATTTAATAATGCTTGTTTAGCGTCAACATGTGCTTGGTGTCAGAAGTTAGGCGGACAGTCATTCACATTACGAACAGATAACGGAGATTCTAAAACGTTATGCAGTGAAGTTTGCTTTAATCAATATCGGCGTGCTTCATTCAAAAAGAATCGAGTATGTACTGTGCAAAGCCATATTTTGTTCAAAGTTCCGATACTCTTTCCTTTCGAAGGTTGCGGAAAATGAAACTGATCATATCCCATCGTCTATTATCTCCACTAACAAATCTAAAGTATGAGTTCATACGAAATGCATATTGATTGATGGAGAAAAATGATTATTTCTAGTCACCAGAAAAAAAGAATGGACTGAGCAAATCGGATCAACAACTGCTAGATGCTAATCGACGAAAACTACTATTACCCCTCCGTCATCTAACTCCGATCATGTCAAAAACGAAGTCAAATCGATTTACTCGAAAATCCACTCCTTCACCCTTCTCAAAGCGTCATCGATCATCCTCTTCACCACATTCAAATGAAAAAATTCTTCGCACTGAACAACCATCAACTACTCCGTCAAATCTACCTGTTAATCTCGCGTGGCAACCATCACTTTTCTTACCATCGACCATGCCTTGGTCATCTCCAATTGATATCAATCGTTTTCAATACCACTCATTATTTGCTCCTCCACCTCTCCCTCCTATTTCAGCTCCACTACCGCCGCCGCCGCCGCCACCACCACCACCACCGGTACTACCAGTACCGTCACACCCAGTCACTTCATCAAATCTATTCTCAACTCTAACAAAAGGCGCTCTGTCGAACTATACTTGTATTCTTCCATCCTTCATCCCACTGCCTATTCCAATACCTATCCCACTGTGTTTTCCTGTTCGCGTGCCATGTACGAAGTGCTCAGTCGAAGTCAATCATCAACACAGTCAGACGACAACAGAAAATGATGCTGAACAAAAACGATTACGAAGGATGTCGATTTGATCTGCAGTATAAAAGCTGTTTTTCTTCATCTAGTATTCTCAGTAGTCTATTACATCTATTAAACATAAAAAACTTACATCAGGATATAGTTTCAAGTAACGTTCAACTAGCATATGACAAGTGCGAAGATCACCATCGCTATTTCCTTAAAAGAAACCAAATACCTGTTATTGTTCCGTTCGAAGAAATTCATTTACCAAAAACTGAGGTCACGAATGTATGATAGCCAAGTAGAAACAGAGCAGAGAATGCTGCTCGTAAGCCATAACTATTGGCACTTAGCTCGAGTTGCTCTATACCAAAGTCCTAAGAGAGCAGTGTTTTATTTTCTTTCTTAGCTTCTACCAAAAATAATGGATCATACTTTATCACCGGAAAATCCAACAAATTCAAGATATCTGATTACGCGTTGTGGAAGATTTGAGATCATCTAAATAATCATCTTATCACTGAAATACCCAACAACAAAAGCAGTTCAATTTCTTACCAAATTAAATGCACCATTGCCCATTCGAACACCGCTATCGAAATGTTCGTAGGAGAAAGTCGATGAAAATTTCGATCGATCATTCTGCTTGGCTAATTTCCTACAAGCAAACAACACGCTCATCTCATTGTGGCAATCGGGGCATACGAACACGAATATATCATGGCATTCTTTGATTTTTATTGCACCACTGATGAAACTAAATAGACCCTGATCTTGTATGAATGTTAAGAGAGCTCGGAGCAGTAGTGCTTCAGCATACACCAATTTCGCATGGAGTTCATCTAGAACAGACATAATTATACGCCTTATTTTTTGAAAGACAAGGCCTTACATTCATTAGGTGCTGATTTCCCTGAAAGACTAAAGGGTATCCACGGCCTGTATGGCTCATATTTTTTTGCTAAACTACTGGTTTGTTTCAACGATTGAATGGCGGCTTCAACATCATCCTAATAAATAATCATTCGATGCGAAAATTTTCAAAAATAGAAACTGTTGTTTTGCACGTTACATTGTTGAATGTCATCACAGCTTGAGTGTAAGTAATTGTGCTATGGCATAAGCTGTGGTATAGCGAACGATGTTCTCTATTGGGAAAAAAACACGCGCAAGAAGATGTTGACAGATGTATCGTAGAACGTACTGTGCTTTCGCTTTTCTCAAAGCTTCATTGAGATGATTTTGCAAAAATAATTTATTGATTTGATCACATTCTTTCAGCGCTTGTATTATGTCGAGCGTCGGATCGTCAGATACTTTGGCAGAAGATCGTCGTCTGAATTCGAAATCAAAAGATCTATCCCGAACGATGTATGTTTTTGGTATACAAACCGATTAGACGTGTCTTTTCGTTTGTCGTCGTCGTCGTCAAGACTTTCAACAGCATCTTGAAAATTCTAGAAAAGAATATTTTATCAATGTCAAATGTCAAGAAGCAAACTATTTCTTTTTTCTTTGCCTGTTTCTTTACGATCTGAGCAGTGATTTTCTTTTCCTTTTCCTCAACTTAAAGTTTTAGTGCATATCAATACCTCACTAGTATCGTCTCTGTCATTGTTACATTCCAGAAGATCATTCAATGATCTGGTTGTTGGCAACTCCGACGTCGATAAAGATCCATTTTGACCGTTGGTTAAATTAAGCGATAAATGATGATTTTCTTGATTTGCTACTGTTGATATTTCATGTGCCGAACTCGACGTCGTGATATGATCGGGAACTCGTAAAGGATGCGTGCCATAGAAAAAATAACTATTAGTTAATCTGTTTGTTGAAGTTGGCTGATTCGAAGATGATGAAGTCATGTGCACTACTAGCAAAAGTAATTCATCTAAAAGAAATACAGTCCTGTTTCTTCCTCTCGGTCGCTTCGGCATGTTGTTTTTTATTTCTTGTTCTGCTCGGATTCAGTCGTTGTTGATATATTTACACGAGCTTGAATGTTCTTAAATGTCGAAAAAAAAAGTCACTCTGATTGTTTTTCTGCTATAAGTCATTTTGCAAGTTGGTTAACTTGAATTATCGATTGGGATGCTCGTACTTACCTGAAAAAGGAAAGAGTGGCAATGTTTTTCTCTTCTCAAATCAATCAAGTTGAGTTTCCAGGATACGTAAAGTTTCAATAAGATTCCGCCCTCCTTTTTTTCCTCTCATTCTTTTTGGCACATGTTTATTTTTTGAATAAGCAGTAGAAAAAAAGCGAGAAAAAGAGTGCAAGAAAATTAATCTTGCCTTTTTTTCTTCTCCTTCTCTTCGTACCGCTTTTCTGTTTCCTTTTCTTTGAAAATCATAATATATGTCAATGGGACATGAAATTCTATTTTCTTTTTCAATACTACACTTTAGTTTACAGTAGAAAACAGATTAATACAGATGCTCGAATGCAATTTACAATGTGAGATACACGTTTTATTATGAGAAAAAAAAAAGAAAAAAGGGTGCGAGTGGAAAGAGTAATGAAACTTTTTATGCTATTAAAATATCTAGCATTCGTCGTTAGTATATATATATAGAGAGAGAGAAAAGGATTTCAACGTTGGCAAGAGAGAAAAACGAGTTGTTATGCACGCTGTCGATATTTATATGAGAATCGCTAGCTTTTATTTCTTATCTACGCAGTCTCCGCATCTCGGTATTATGAAATCTCATAAATACGGCGCTCTACTGACAACTACTCGAGGAAAAAAAGCGCAGAACTGACAATTAATTCGATCTAATTTCATATGCAGAATTTCTGAGTCGCCATCACTCACGTGTCTTTGACAGTTCTTACATTTCTTCATCTCTTTTCTCCGTTACGGAAGTATACATTTGTCAAAGAAGATAAACATGTGTGCGCAGCTGTTCACAGAACCTTATAACACAACAAATTCAGAGTAGGGTGACTTTGCAAAGAATAGTTAGTTCGCGAGCATGATTTTCTATACCTCGATGAATTCAATGATTGATATGAATCTTTGTACTTATTTGTTTGATCTTGTCAATCATACATTTCTCATTTCCGGTATGTTTTCTTAAACAGCATTGAGTATAAGATGCAAGGATTACAGTCAGTTATGAATGCTGAAAAACAAACGGAAATACATTGAAAGTATTAATATTCAGATGTTTTCCGAACGAGTTTTGTCCTTCAAGTGAAAAGATTGAGACTTGACTTATTCGAATCAAGTAGAGAAGAGGAGCAAGAAAGGCATTATCCTAATTCATAATTATATTTCTAATCAAAATCTGCACGCAAATCTGCGGCAAAGAAAAACACCATCTACATCATGTTCAATTCTTCCTCGTCATTCGTTGTTGACGAGCAATATTTCGTGATATGGGTGGTTTACGAGAGAAGTGTTGTTCACAATTAGGATAATAGTGCGTATGTTGTACTTGAGATGTGTTCGAATGTGTACGATGCAATTGATGTCGATGCGTTGGATGCAAACGTTCATTCGAATGATGAGTAGTATTTCGACGAGTGACGTCGTGGGATGTTCGCGGCCGAGAAGCATGATGTCGACGAGATTCCTATAAAGAAAACATTTGAGAAGAAAATTGAAATTCATCTCATATTTACATGATATGGATGCTTGTGTCGCGTAGTATGATTCGGTGACATAGTCATAGTTTCAAGAACGAGACGGGAACGAAAATCGTGAAAACTCTTTTGTAATTGTCGTTTAACTGCAGAAATAAAGCTTATTATTCGATGGGCTGTAGAAGGTGTCGATGGTAATGGACGACGACGAAATCGATAATCATCATTGATTGAATATGTGCCTTCGTCATCGTAATCATAATCGTCCTCGTCGTCGTCATCATCATCAGAATCATAGCGAAACATGTTCCGACGATGGATCGGTAGTTCATCGTATCTTTCTAATTCGTCACGAATTTTCGATGTGACCAATGAACGTTTCAATGCCACAGGTTTTTTCGCCCGATTCTCGAGATTCATTGCCGCAAAAGTCTTACTCTTAACTATGTCATTCTGTTGTTTGACTGCTGCTCGCACATAAGCTTCTCGAAGAGCGGTAATTCTATTGGAGACACGTTGTTCGCCGTGTGTACGTTGAATAATGTTATGAATAAAATCTACGTCGTTCTTATCTAAACCAAGAGCAATACCGGAAGAACGACGAACAATCGCTGGAGGTCGGGGTGGCTTTATAACGGAAATAACAGTACTAGTGCTGCTTGTCGAAGGCGAACAGGATGATTTTCGTGGACGTCGAAGAAGAAAATCTTCGAATGTATCATGTGGAAGAAATCCTTCTTCGTCTTCTTCTTCGACTTCTACTTCTTCTGATCTTTTGTCTTCGATTAATTCTTTGATTTGTCTATCTTCATCTTTCTTCGATATTATTTCGGTCTGAAAAAGTATTCCAACTTTTGTCAAATGAAAATAAATCTTTTTACTTGGTGATTCGATTCACCATTTTCTGACGCTGATAGAACGGGTGGGATAAGATCATCTTCATTGTAAGTTACTGTTGGATACCATGCAAAAATATGATTTTGTAATGCTCCGTGGAACTGCACTGGATACTCAACGGCTTGTGCTTCTTCATCGGAATAGACACTATCAAATGAATGATTGTCCAACGGAATAGATTGCTGAACGGCATTGTACAATCGATTGGATACTGATTTTACGATCGGTTTTTGACGAACGTGAGGGTGTTTTGCTTGTGGTAAATTTGAGATCATGTCTGACTGGCGTTTTTGTCGTCGTCGTACTGCATTCGAACTCGTTGAACGGAAAGGTGTTATACTTCGTCGGCGGTGTCGTTTGGAACGATGTGATGTTCGTCGTTGGCGAAGTGTTGGATGAATTTGTGCGATGGGATGATGTATTTTTGTTCGATATAAACCACTTTTATCGCCACAGTTCGGGGCCATGTTGACTTCAAGTTTTTTTCTCGTCTAAAAATGTTGAATAGATTAACATTCTTTTTGACTAGCAAAAAAGAAGAGATTAAGCTCACTTTGGTAGTACTCGCATTCGAGTTTGTCTCAAGTACATTCGTCTCAATGTCAGATGACTTCGTTTCGCCGCAATGTATTGGCGAATAAGCATCGTCGATATCCTTTTCCTTGTTGTTAGGTGACGGTAGTGAGATGATTTGCGAGGTATCTTCTTGAAATTCGAAGTTGATATATGTACGGATAGATGATGATGACGAACTTGGATTGGACAATGTTTGATGGATTTTAGTCGATGCGAACGAGCTCGAATAGGTTTTCATGTTTTCGTAGATTCGATGGTTGTTTTTTTTATCCGCTATGTGCACCTTTTTTGACAGAGGAGCAGTCGAGGTTGTATTCAGGAGTTTTCCATAACTTGCGTCAGTCTGTTGATTTGTTTGTTTGGATGAAAGCATTGAAATATTGAAATAGTTGTTCGTTTGATATACAGCTGACGTTTGCATAGCTGGTGCAATGGTATTTTGAGTTTGAGCGGAAGCATAAGTGTGAATATTAGCATACGGTCCTGTATGCGATGAGCTTTCCACTGAAGATGATGTCTTTGGCATTGAATATTGCCGTATTTTCTTCGATGTGTATGAAAGATTAGCATACATCGGAAGGTCAGCATTGGATGATATCGATGGAAATTCCTTACAATTGTTTACTTCTCTTGAATAGTATTTCAATCCCATCAGCGTTTTTCTCGTTCAATGAAAAGATCTCTAATGACATCGTGAATGTTCGCTCATCGATGAGGTGTATGTATGCTTATTTGCCGATATGTCTACATTTGTTTAGCTCAAATCAGTAATTATTTTCGTTCCTTTGTTCGTTTGTTGATTGTCATTAGAACCGAATGAACATCGGCCTATTGATTTTGACTTAGCTAGATATAAATATGTCGACTTTCGACTATTCAAATGTTTTGCTTATCATAAGAACAAAGACAGCAAAACTGAAAGACGTCACTTCTTTATCTCGAACATTCTTACGTTGTCCATGAAAGAGGATGAAGCAAATGTTACCAACATGCGCAATTTTTTGAAGAAAAAAAGGCGTTTGCGTTTCACTATAGCCGACCCATCGGACATGAAATCTGTAACCTTTGACCGCTGCAGTAGATAACATTGACCTCTCCACTTCTCCTTATCACCTGACAGTTTACATATTGTTCATAGGTAGAAATCGAATGAGAACGGTGGTAGCATTATCTGGTTACATATTACGTTCATACGAATTCGGATGTCTAAGAACAATTGTGGACCATTGTCTTATCAGTGAAAAATCACTTTGAAGTGATGTTTGACTCTGTTCTTTAGTTATCTTTGTTCTGCATGTAAACAATGGCGAAACAAAAAAGATAAATACAGGTGTCACAAAGACTATACTAATCAGTAGAAGAAAACGCTTATCAGATAAATAAGACTCGAGATAGAATATGTTCCAGAGAAAAGGTCTACAAAATTCTGTGACGTCAATGCAGATAAACATGATCTATATAAGATGTGTTGATGCGTATGAAAATAGTCTATTTTGTTTCTAAGTTTTGGGCATACGAAAGATACATTCCACAATGAAACTGCTTTTCGTAGCATTACTCTTTTTGTGTGGTAGGTTGCATTCATATATTAGGGTGTACATTCATTCATTCGATGTCAAATCTATGTAGTCGCTTGGTTCGCCGATGCTTATGAATGTTACATATGCAATAATCTAATGACTGGTGCTTGCGGTGATCCCTTTGACAAGTCGAAAATTAGCAACACCTCCATAGTGGAAATCGCGCCTTACGAACGCTGTGCAGTAGGCATCTTCGTAATTTTTTCAAATCTCTAATTCATAATTGTTTTTTCTTCATAGAAATCTAAAATTGGTACTGCTGTTCGAAGAACCAAAGTTAATTCCACGGAGTGTCCAGGCGCTAAAAATGGATGTGAACCTAGAATGGATGATGGTGTGAAAGCTATGGTTTGTTGTTGCGATTCAGACCTATGTAATCAAACTTCATCTCTCCGGCAACCAATTTGGCTCCTTCTAATTGCACTAATCATATGTGGTCTCTTCGTTCAAAGCTGAACTTAAATTTAATGCATTCGATTATAAACAAGACTTATTTTCAAGTGTGACTCTTTTCTCTTGATTATTTCTGTGATTATATTTCCAAATAAAGCTTCTTTAACCGAAAATTTGATCTACTGTTAAAGCGAACTTTGCTTTGTACTCTGGTGATATCTTTCATTGTATGGTCTTCGCCATTATCCTTCTTCTTTCATTGGACATGCGTGACACAGGTATAAGCAACGGTCAATCGGTCACCGCATGTCCAATCGAAGCGAAGCGATATAGGTCAACTGTATGCTATAATCAACAAAATATTTTCTGCATTATTTCTATCGTACTAGTATCTTCATAGTCTATGAACCAATATTAGTTCTGAAAATTATTCAAAGCTCACGTGTAGAATGATAGCAAGAGTAAGTTTTCGAACTGTGCTATGTGCTGATAAGATGTCCACGAATTGAGTACATCACAGGAGAATGCGTCGTTACTAGAGAATAATTAAATTAATTTTATTCACTTGTAAATATGTCTCTGTGCGTAGCAGTTTTGTATAAAATGTTGCATGAGAAATGCCATCACACTTCTTCCTACATACGTATGTGTGATGCTTAACACTGCGAACAACTTATTTGAGTTCGTGCTGTGTTCTTATCTTTCATCATAGATACTCGAAAGATAAGCATTTGCTATTAGTAAGCAAACAAAACTACTGGTTGAAACCCTCTTTAGTTCATCGTTTTTCTAGTTTATCTTCCGAATGTTTAATTTCAACATTCCGGCTCTACTCATTGGTTGTATTCCAATAATTATTTGTGATCCTAATTGCGTGTACAAAGTCGACGATGGATTGACGTTAGACATTCGGACATTGGGCTTTGCAGATGGGAAAGGTCCCAAATATAATCATATTTCGAATGCAGCTACTACAGCAAATACTTTCAGTTGGAATGGGTGTTTTTCGTATTCTACCAATGATCAAGGCAACTGTTCAGATGCTGCAGCATGCTATTGTAAATTATCAGCTATATTCTTCACTCGAATGAATATTTATTCTTTTCAGTTGATGCAACGCAGAATAAATCAATTCTCATCGCTAAGCAAGATTCAACTGAATTTAAACATAACCAAGGTTCATTCGTTCTTTCCTATAAGTCTTCACATGGATATCTGACAGTATTCTTAAACTGTCGAGACGAAGATGAAGACTCAGCCATCGGCCAACAACACGATGCATCAACTTACAGTATTCATATTCAATCTCGCTGCTGTTGTCCAGGAATGTGTCACTATCCCACTCATTATGTCAATCCCATCATCATTGCAATCATCATAATCAGTATTTTCGTCCTCGGATACATACTTGGCGGTATCCTCTTCGTCAAACATCGACCAGATTCACTGAATCGTTTTTCATTTGCGAATTTGATATCTTATCTCCGACATCGAAATAGCAATTATCAACAAGTGTAAAGCAGAACAAGTTTCATACTTTTATTCTAATAAAGCATCCTGTCTAACTTATAACAGATCAATGTGTATTGCTATTTCGGGTACTATGATCAGATTGCTTCGCTCGAAAGATCCGATAAATTCTCTGGAAAACTCGCACATGACTATTGATCATTAAGGAGTCCAGAGAGAGAAAAACATACAACAACGTTAGTTTCGTGTTATTCCAATGATCAATGATCTCTTCGAACTGCTACGTAAATACGATTAGCAAAGCGATGGAAGAACGAGAGAGGAAAAAGATTTGCATGAATGATGAGTGTCTCGAAGATAAGTGCTAACATTAGACATGAGCAAACGAATGATGATATTTTTTTAACGGAGATCACCGCTGATTGTGTAAGTTGATTTCCATAATGAGAGCAATTTTGTTAGCGCACAAGTTAGTTTATAAGTATTCATGTGAAGTTGCTTTTCCTACATGTCGTGAAATTGACTGGTGGTTTCTTTTCTTTTTTCAATCATTGAGATGAATATTCATGCTTGTCAATTTTGTCTTGTTCTCCTAACTGAATTTCTTTTTGAAAGTTCACAAATGAAATTATTTCCTGATCAATTTCAATTCTCTCGTGGCGAAAGCATCGAAGACATTTTCTTCGCTATTATTGTTACCTCAAGTAAAAAACTCACTTTCGATGCTATTCTGCGAGATAAAGTAACTGCAGTGTCAAAGACAAGAACTTTTACTTGCCTGATGTTGACATGTTCGATCAAAAATCAATTTTTCTCCATAAGAAAGAAAATATTCTCTCATGCTTTGGGAACGAGAGATTTCTAATTTTCTTGTTTTTTCATTATATTATTCTTATACATGCACAGATAGTTTTAGATTCTATCAAACCAAACTGACATTTCATGTTCTCGACGTTGTCTAATACAATCTGGTCAAATTTTCATTCTCAACAAGTTATCAACAATAATAACACATTCATTTCACATCCATCAACTATCACTCATCGAATCATTTTTCTTCTATCGACTGTAAGTAATTTCATCACATGAAGGTAATCTATTCAGGAACAAGTTAAGATAAAGGAATTACCTAAGGGGATAAGTACTAGTCTGAGCAATCGACCTTGTTGAGCTCCTCAGCTGCTACTACACTCAATTAAATAGAGGCTGAACCATTTACACTATGTAATCAATGGTTCTACTAAGACGTAACTTAATTTCGAACCATTCTCATACGAAATAATTGCTTTGACCTACTCTCATTGATTTCTTTCCTTAGATTGTTCTATTCTGGACCTGCTTCGTCATAATTTATTTTCTCAGCCGTGTCATTATTCGATTAGTTTCATTGTTAAAACGTTATTACTTCAATCGATCGCTGACTTCAACAAAAAACGTTTGTCAAGCATTCGTTATTTCATCAAATCAATACGGATCGTTTCAAGCTAAACATACATTACATCGTACGGATAGTTTCTTCTCAAATAACTATCTGATAGTTTCTCACGAACCCATGCCAAATAAATCGAACTATGACACAATTAAGTTAACGATGAATCAATATTCGAATATACTCGAAAATCGGCAATATCAACATTCGAAAGCAAATCTATTAGAACATTATCTGAAGACGTACAATCCATTACAAATCGATTTGAGTAATTCAAGTCAAGAAACGATTACAACATCGGAGATTAGGATTACGGCTGCTGAAGAAATACCGAGTGAAACGGATACTCAACCATTAGATAATTGTTATTCACTTCAATGTGCAAATAAACACAGATTACATCGTAAAGGACGCTACGTTCGATTGAAAGAATCGGAACATTCCGCAACATTGACGAGTGTTGCCGAAGATCATCTTTCGGAATGCAGTACGAAATTAACAACGACAACACTACCGATTGTCATGGTGACAGATTGTTCTGATAGTCAACGACTTCATACGGATATAATCGAACTGAATGATGAAGAATAAGCAAACGTTTCTATTTGCTGAACTTCGATTTGATTAAAATGTCAAAAAGAAAACGATCATGGGATATTTGACACTGATGTGATAAAGAGATTTCTATACATCGAACCGAATTTCAGGTCTCAATGTCGGATCATAATACGATCATAAAAGAATGGAGCAATTCACTTTTCAATGTACAGTTTTATGTATTCATTTCAATTGACTCTTCGAACAAGGTTGATGATCTTTTGATATACGCCTTGGAAGCGATGATGTTTTTTTCTTCACTTCTCTTTTTTTTGTATCACTGCTTATTTATTACAAGTAATAACTTTTCTCTTTTGTATCCTCTTTTCCTTGCTACATTCACGACTGACGAGCGTAGTAGTCGTCAACATTATTGAACATGAAGTGATCAATTTCTCTTCTCTCTTTCCATCTCTTTCTCTCTTCGTTCTCTCGTTCACCCTAATTTTGGGTTACTGTTTCTCTCATTCGTCGCTTGACTGGATTATATATATATATATATATCTACGTGTATAATATAAGTACGAACGTGTATGTCTTCTTCTCATCCATTGAACACACATATTCTAACGAGACGAGCAGACGATTGTGAGAATAAACTGACGAGACTGGTCAGTGAACACGACCCACAACTCTCTACCATCGGCATTTGTCTTTTCTTCTCGTTTTCTCTTCTCTCTTCGTGTTGTTCTATAATTGAACACATCGACCTTCTATCCGACGTATATACGCATTCGTGTTCGCATACGAAAAGAGAAAGAGGGAGAGAAAGAAACTTCCGCTTGAATATGCTCACCGTCGACACAATGATATGAATATTGTTGCTTCCCACACATTCATTCATTCATTCACTCATTCATTTCATTCATATCGACGTGAACATCTATAACATATAGGAGTGTTTTATTTTATTCATTGATCAGTTTTTCTTCAGTACGTGCGAATACGAACATTAGCATTTGTCTTACCACGAGCTGATCATTAACATGACTCGTTTCGAAGAAAAACTTTATTTACAAAGTGTGTTCGACGCAATCGATCAAGTTTACAATATGAAGAAATCTCAAAAACATTCAACCTATGAAGAGCGCTTGCGTGCTTCATTTAATAAATTACTTATACCTGATTGGTATAATCACGAATACACATCAACTAATGGTTTACGAAAAACAAAATCTCATGGACATGTGCCTCGTGCCAAACGTAATAACAACAATCACAATAGCAATAATAATAATAACAATCACATTAATAATAATGACGATACACCAGAGACATCGATTTCATCTTCAGTTAACTCACCTCATCTATCGAATGGTACAAATCATCAATCTTATCGTCATCGTTCGACAAGTCGTTCGTGGTCAGAAAGAGCTCCTTTTCGACGTGATTCCACAACATCTAGCTATGATCCAAATGGATGTGTCATTAACGGTCGACGATCGGCAACTTCGAATGGTTCATCAACATACGCACCAGGTGTTCAACGTGTCGCTCAATCATCAACATGGTATAAACCACGCATTTTTTCATCGAAAACAGCCAATGGCCATACTGTTGAAGCACCTAAACCTCTGCCAAGATGCTCGAAAATTGGTAAGTGAGATTTAATTATTTATATATCTTGAATAGCAATAATGTTGATTATGTGAACTTTCGATATTGACATCATATACATATACATATAACAATTATGTAATGATACTGATAAGATATAGTTTGTGTGGACATCACACTCTCATCAACTTTTTTCTTTCTTCTTCTAACGATCATAAATTTCAAATTTAACGCAATAGTTATCAATGAAAGTGTCCTGTTAGTTATATTATGTACATTCGATTATAATTATTATATCAGTTTAGACATCGATCTCACGGCTGTATATGATCTGTTCGAAATAGATCAAAGGAAAACGTGATAGACGCTCGTGGGTCGTGTCATTTATAGATGTGGTACATTAACATTGACAAGGCATATGTAGTTGCTTGTCAGTCTATCTATCTTTCTCTTCGTTTTTCGCTATTTTTTGCTTGATAAATTCTCAATTTATTATATGGTGCATCATGCCTATTCGACCGATAGTTAATTCATTTTTTCTTCTCCTTCTTTCCTATACATATTTATAAGGGCACAGATTTTCTGGTGCATGTTTTGAAAACAAATATATTACAACAAGAGGATGAAAATGTCTTGATAATGAATTCGCGTCGAAGTGAATCACTTAGTATATGTGTGTGTATATACATAAATGTTTGTGCGTCTCTGATTGATTGGCTATGAAAATAAAATGTGTGATTATTCTTATTGTCAGTGAACTGTTGAGTATATAAGGAGAAAAAACAACAACAACAACATTCCATGCTAATTTCATTCATATTGAAGTGAATATTTTATTTTTACGAGAAGTAAAAAAGAATAAAAATCAGACAAGTCTTCAGGTCATATTATACCAATTCTGGTTACAAGTCCTTGTCTATGTAGGATGTACTCAATGAAGAGAAGGAGAGCGAAAGTAGGCTTAGATTAAAATCAAAGTAAAATGTTCGTTCGTGATGTTTTACATCATTTCAATCGATCGCTTTCATTGCTGTTAGATAATACACTAAGGTGAAGGTTGTGCATATGTTAATGTTTTGGTAAAAAAGCAATGTAAATGGTAGAATAAGTCATTTCACAGTAATCAATCCGTGATGTCAACGCAATCAGAATACAGATCTTTTGTATAATTGAACTTTTCGAATCAGACGAGATGCATTGAAATCGATCGGTATGCGATAAGCAGATAGACTCAAGTGAAGCTCATTTCGCCGGCGTTCTTGTTTGAATAAGGCCTAACGATTGGAACCGCACTCGTCGCGTGGCTGTCTTTTTTCCTTTAGTAAATAAAAGAACGACATACAGTGTGTATGGTGCATGCAGGACGAGTTTTACACATATATATTTCAAAGAAAATATGTATACTCACAAACAAGGAAGAATGAGAAAAGGCAAAAAAAAGCATGCGAGCAAGAATGTCAATGTA